CATAAGAGACTCTTAATCTCAGGAAACAAACTGAGGGTTGCTGGAGTTGTGAGGGATGGGGTGGCTGGGTGATGGACACTGGAGAGGGTATGTGCTATGGTGAGCGCTGTGAATTGTGTAAGACCAATGAATCACAGACTTGTACCCCTGAAACAAATAATACATTATATGTTAATTAAAAAAAACAAAGGCAACAAAAGCAAAAATAAACAAGTAGAACTATATCAAACTAAAAAGCTTCAGCAAAGCAAGGGAAATCAGCAACACAAAATGAAAAAGGCAACCTACAGAGGCAAGTATTTGCAAATCATCTGAGGGGTTAATATCCAAAATATATAAAGAATTCATACACCTCAACGGCAGAAACTACAGTCTGATTTCAAAATCCGCCTAAGAAGATACACAAATGGCCAACAGGTAGATAAAAAGGTGCTTAACATTACTAATCATCAGGGAAATGCAAATCAAAATCACAATGAGATATCACCTCACACTTGTTAGACAGGCTATTATCAAAAAGATAAGACATGATAAGTATTGGAGATGATGTGGAGAAAATGGAATCCTTAATGCTCTGTTGGTGGGACTGTACACTGGTACAGCCACTATGGAAAACTAAAGATAGAGGTTCCTCAAAAAATTAAAAAGAAAACTACCATAGGATCCAGCAATCCCGTGTGTGCGTGTATGTGTGTGTGTACAAAGGAAAATGAAAAACAGGATATTGAAAAGATAATCTGTGCTTCTATGTCCACTGCGGCATTATTTACAATAGCCAAGATCCGGAAACCTCAGTGAACGGAGAGAAGAATGGAATATTATTCATCTATGAGAAAGAAGGACATTGTGCCATTTGTGACAACATGGATAAAACTTGAAAGTGTTAAACTAAGTGAAAGTCAGAGAAAGACAGATACTCTATGATATCACTTATATGTGATATCTTAAAAAGCTGAACTCCTAGAAACAGAGACTAGAATGGTAGCTACCAGGTGCTGAAGGGTGGGGGGAAATGAGGAGATGCTGGTCAAACAGTACAAGTGTTCACTTATAAGAAGAGTAAGTGGAATGCAATGGAAAGCAATTATATATGGCAATTATAATTAATATTATTGAATTGTGTATTTCAAAGTTACAAAGAGAGTAGACCTTAAATGTTTTCACCAAAAAAGAAATGGTAATTATGTAACATGATGGAGAGGATAGCTAAAGCTATGGTGGTAATCATTCTGCAATATACAAATGTATAAAATCAATACAATGTACATCTTAAACTTATACAATGGTATATGCATGTCAATTATGTTAATAAAGCTTCAAAGAAAGGTTTTGTTTGTTTGTTTAAGATTATATTTATCTGACAGAGAGAGACACAGCGAGAGAGGGAACACAAGCAGGGGGAGTGGGAGAGGGAGAAGCAGGCTTCCCGCCGAGCAGGGAGCCTGATGTGGGGCTCGATCCCAGGATCCTGGGATGGTGACCTGAGCTGAAGGCAGACGCTTAACGGCTGACCCACCCAGGCGCCCCAAGAAAGATTTCTAATAAAATCAAAATGGCTGATAAGTTAGTAACACGACGACAGGCTGCATTAATATCAAGACAATGATAAATATTTACATATCAGGTAAAAACAATACAAGGTAGCCAAAAATCTAGGTAAGCCAAAAAAATGTTTATTAGTCTATAGATTCCCACATTTCCATAAAAGACTAATTTTCCCATACTAACTGGACAGAATCTATAGGATTACTATTATTTCCAAACACATTTTTAAATTTTAATTTTACCCCAAAATTTACTGGTATCAGTCTCTTAAAGAATTTATGTTAAGTAACTGGTTATTTCACATTTCAACTTATTTTAGCGGTGTCAAGACACAATCTAAGTCTAACAGAAACAAATCTACAGGCTTCAAACAGCACTTCAAGTAATACAAAGAAAGAAAGTCGAGGAGGACAGTTCTGAGAGAAAGGCTGAGAAGAGGAAGACAACTCTACTGGAGACCTTATCAGGATGCAGCAGTGCACTCTGCGGCATTATCACTGACCTGTAACCTCTTCAGCTTGCGAGCAAGCCCTGAGTGCTCTGGGACTAAGTGGTGTTTCAAAAAGTTCTTGTATCATATTTACTCTTTCCTACGACTCTTATCAGAAGCCTGAGGTACTCAAGTTTCAGAATCCACAGGCTCCGATCACCCACCTAACGACATATCCGAGAGGAATAATGAGAAGCATAAAATGCCACCATCATAAAAAGAAAATAGTAACAATCAGGATTTAAAATGGACCAACTCATTTTTTTGATCGAAGTATAGCTGACATACAATATCGTCTTAGTTTCAGGTGTACAACATAGTGATTCGACAGCTATATATATTATGAAATGCTCGCCATGATAAGTGTAGTCACCATCTGTCACCATACAAAGTCATTACAAACTTACTAAATTCCCTATGCTATACTTTCATCCTTGTAACTTATTTATTTTATAACTAGAAGTTTGTACCTCTTAACCCCTTTCACATTTTTCACCAGTCCCCTACCCCCCGCCTCTGGCAACCACCAGTTTATTCTCTGTATTTGCAAGTCTGTTTCCGTTGGTTTTATTTTGTTTTGTTTCTCTGTTTGACTTTTTTTTTTTTTTTCATTCCACATCTAAGTAAAATCATGGTATTTGTCTTTCTGTCTGACCTACTTCACTTAGCAGAATATCCACCTACTGGGTCCATCGATGTTGTCATGAATGGCAAGATTTCATTCTTTCTTTATTGCTGAGTAATATCCCATTACATATATGTACCACATCTTCCTTACCCACTCATCTATCAATGGACACAGAGGGTGTTTCTTGGCTATTGTAAATAATGCTGCAATAAACATAAGGGCGCATATATCTTTTCAAACTAGTGTTTTCATTTTCTTTGGGCAGGTAACCAGGGATGGACCAGTTCATTTTTAAGGGCACAGCCACAGGTAAATAGCATCAACACTGTGTTCTTGATAACTATAAACAGAATAAAATAGGTTTTAAAAAAAACACCACTTCCTTAATAAATATATAATAAATCTCTAACTTTAAAATGAATTGTATTACAGGGGCACCTGGGTTAAGCGTCTGGCTCTTGATTTCAGCTCAGGTCATGATTTCAGGGTCCTGACGGGCTCCATGCTCAGTAGGGAATCTGCTTGATGATTCTCTCCCTCCCTCTCTCTCTGCCCCTCCCCGTATTCATGCTTGCTTGCACTCTTTCTAAAATAAATAAATAAATCTTAAAAAAAAAAGAAAAATGAGTTGTATTACAAAAGGCCATTTCTTCATGAAGACACATTTCCCCATAAAATACTGTAAGTGGTGGTTTATTTCCAAACCTGGCCCAATACCTATTTAACCCATAATGTACTGACATAGTAGAGTACTGAATGAAATGTGGTAAAGGGACTTACAATGCTTCAAATGCATATTAGTATTTCAGCTGAAAGGATAGGATCTTGGCAAAATAGGACTCCAAAAAATGGACTTCACAAGTTCCACATAACCCAAAATGTTCACACAACTGTACATATGGGTGATTTTCTTATGAAAGGGTCCACAGCTTCTCCAAGTGGTTGTCTCTAACTCGACAAAAAGGGGTTTCAATAAAGGGAAAAAACTTCTGTGCTATACAAAACCAAACTCTTCCCTGCATAGCCCTCAAATAGAGCTTATGAGAGAAATGAGGCATTTTGCAAAGTTATGATCCACACATGTTTACACATATGATAAGAGCATTGAGGCAAAGTTATCAAAAACCTTCCAGGAAAACTAAGTGAAGGAAATTCTAGAGTAAAGAACACATTTCAACATTTTATGGGGTCAGAACTGCCCACAGAAGATGACACAGGAAGTTCATCTGAAGTGGAAAGAGAATGATGGTCCAAATGGCACCCATTGTAGACTTCCATGAGTCAGTAGCATTTGTCTGCACAGCTGACTTAGCTGCAAGCAAACATTCCGTACATTTGTGTCTCCACAAAACCCCACTTAAAAATCGTTCCCCATCCTAGCCAAATCACACAGGCAAAACTTGGTTACCATGATCTTTTAAAAAAAAAAAAATCCGGAGCACCTGGGTGGCTCAGTCAGTTAAGCGTCTGCCTTTGGCTCAGGTCATGATCCCAGGGTCCTGGGATTGAGTCCCGCATTGGGCTCCCTGCTCAGCGGGGAGTCTGCTTCTCTCCCTCTCCCTCTGCACCTCCCCTGCTCATGTCTACTCTCTCGCTCTCTTTCTCTCTCAAATAAATAAATAAAATCTTTAAAAAAAAAAAAAATGAGGGGCGCCTGGTGACTCAGTCATTAAGCGTCTGCCTTCTGCTCAGGTCATGGTCCCAGGGTCCTGGGATCGAGCCCCACATCGGGCTCCCTGCTCGGCGGGAAGCCTGCTTCTCCCTCTCCCACTCCCCCTGCTTGTGTTCCCTCTCTCGCTGTGTCTCTCTCTGTCAAATAAATAAATAAAACATTAAAAAAAAATGAAAGAAAACCCATCTTTTATCTACACACAATTCAAATAAACAAAAATGTATATTTAAATAACCCAAGCCTGTCATATGAATTACTATACTTTTTCTATTAATTTTTCCCAAGAAAATCTGGACAACAACCTCTTTTTATATAATTTTAAACAGGACTTTCAACTTTACCGAAAAGTTTCTATAAACTGGTATGACAAAGTTCAGACATTGTTCTTTGCTTAACTGAGGAAAGTTTATTGTTTTTGGCTTTTTGTTAAAATAGATTTGAGCTGCAGAGACTATCAAGCTATTCCAACCAACAGCGTAATTTCAGATTCATACCTACTTAAAATATTCGTGTTTGCTTTCCTCTTCATCCCAAACCAGGAGTCCACAGCTAAGTCATTTAGGTTCTTCCTCTCTCTTACCTCTCTCAAAACATTAGTACACTTCTTAACACACTAGCAACTAGTTTTTGAAGTGAAGGCTTTCCACAAGACAGCGCCCACTTACCCCTCCTGCCTTCAGCAACTTTCTTCTAAACTCCTCTGTGGGGTTGTTGAAAGTTAGCTTTTCACAGCGGAGGTGATTCACTGGTGGATGGCCTTCAAGATGCAGGAATAAGTCATAATCAAAGCGGACTTTCTTAGGTTCTTCCTAGAGATTAAAAAAAATTTTAAGAAAGAAAAGAGAGAGTTAGGCATATACAAATTTTGAAAGCAAAGTTTAATTCTTCAGAAGGAACAGAAAAGACCCAGGTAACCAACAGCTATTGTGTCAAAGTACTGGAAAAAGAAAATTCTCATGGGATTATCTACAAAGCAAAAGGCAAATACCTAATGAATCGGTCTCTTGTTTTCTGAGAGAATAAACTCATCATTTTTCCTGTAATATCTCAAGTGGTGTAACACAACCAACACAACCACCCAACTAGAAACCTAAGATACCCCTGAAGCCACTTCCTCCCTTTCCGACGCCACCCCCTCCACCCATCAGCGACAACTGCCATTTTCTCTCCTAAATATTTCTCGAACAAACCCTCTAATCCATAACTCTTATTCACTGCCCAAACTATAATAAGCTCCTTTCTCTAGTAGGCCCTTCCTACTTCAGGACAGATTTATCTTCAATTCCTCCTTCATTTAGGCCTCACAATTATCCATATGAAACAAAAATCTAGCCATTTCACAGCTTGATTAAAACTTCTAAAGCTGGGGCGCCTGCGTGGCTCAGTTGGTTGGGCGACTGCCTTTGGCTCGGGTTGTGATCCTGGGGTCCTGGGATCGAGTCCTGCATCGGGCTCCCCCTGCATCTCCCTCTGCCTCTGCCTGCCACTCCCCCTGCTTGTGTGTGTGCACCCACGCTCTCTCTCTCTGTCAAATAAATAAATAAAATCTTTAAAAAAAAAAACTTCAAAAGCTGCCAACTGCCATTAGGATAAAAATCAAAGCTCACTTGAATGCCTCCTAAGGGCTTTCAGAACTTGGCTCTCGGCTCTTCATCCCGCCACCCTGTGTCCACCCATCTCCTGGTCCAGCAACACGTGCTGTTGGGTGTTCCCAGCATTTCCCATGTTCTAGGCTAACTCTGGGCTTCACCTTTGCTTTGTGTTACCACCCTCATTGCCCGCCTCCATTCCTCCACCTTTGTGTCACCTGGGTAACTTCTACTCCTCCTTCTCCAATCAGGTTTCACTTTGGGGACGGATTCCTAGAACCCACTCCCAATTTCCCACTGCCTCTCCTCTGCTCTGAGGGCATCTCTCCCCTCCTTGCCACAGCTTAGGGTAACCATCCTATCCTGTCTCTTTATCCTGCTTAATCATAAGATTCTTGAAAGTAGGAGCAATGGTTGAATCATCCTTGCACCCCTGACAACTAGTTTAGCACCAGTGCATAGCAGAAATGCAATAAATATCTATGAAATGAACCAGGAGGATGAAATGGCATCAGATTCACGAGGACACAACCATCAGAATTTCATGGTACACAAGTTCTACTCTCGAGCCATTACTTTAGTTAGCTAAACACTTAAACCTCTCTACACACGGATTCTTAAGCATTCCAGGTGCAATGAAGACTAAGGATAATGACAATAACTAATATGAATGTTAACAGTGATCTCATTTAATTCTCATAGCTCGCCTCTAGGTCACCTGTGAGCCCTGTTTTGCAGGTATGGAAATTAAAGGACTGGAATTTGTTATATTACTTTATATAAAAATGTCTTTTGTGTTACAAATATTAACCATCCCTGTGAAGTGTTATCATTTTTTTTCATTTATCCATTAGCTTTGCCATTTTGTTTATTTTTAATAGCTTTATTGAGAAATAATTCACAAGCCATAAAATCCACGCTTTAAAATATACAAGTTAGTGGTTTTCAGTATACTCACAGAAGTATGAAACCATCACCACCATCTAATTTTAGAACATTCTCATCATTCCAGAAATAAAACTCAAATACATTAGTAGTCATTTCCTATCCCCCCAGATCCTGCATCACCTTGTACCACTAATCTATTTCTGTTTTTCTAGAGTTGCCTGTTCTGTGGATGCGGCATTTCATACAAATATATGAACATACATAAAATGGATATACAATATGTAATCCTTTGTGACTGTCTTCTTTCATTTGGCATGATTTTCCAGGGTTCATACATGCTGTAATGTGTCAGTAGTTCCTTTTTTACAGCTGAATAATATTCCATTGTATGGGTATCCCAGTATTTGTTAATCCACTTGTTGGATAGACATGTGTATTTTTTCTTTTTAGCCACTGTGAATAGTGCTGGTATGAACATTTGTGTACAAGTTTTTATGTAGACATATATTTTCATTTCACTGGGGTAAATACCTAAGGGTAGAATTTCTGGGTCCTGCCGTAACTCCATGTTTAACATTTTTACAAACTGCATTACTGTTTTCCACAGTGGCTGCACCATTTTAAAATCTCAATAGCCATGTATGAGGTATTTATGTTTTTTAATATATAACATATTCAAATTCTACATAGTTAGATAAATCAATGTTTCTCTTAAAAAAACATTTGTGGGGCACCTGGGTGGCTCAGATGGTTAAGCGTCTGACTCTCGATTTCGGTTCAGCTCATGATCTCAGGGCCGTGAGATGGAGCCCCACAACACGCTCTGCGCTGGGTGTGGAGCTTGCTTGGGATTCTCTCTCTCCCTCTGCCCATCCCTCCCCAGTTCACTCTAAAAAAAATTTTTTCTTTATTTAAAGATTTTATGTATTCATTTGTGAGAGAGAGAGAGAGCGTGCGCACAAGCATGGGGAGCGGCAGGCAGGGGGAGAAGCAGGCTCCCCACTGAGCAGGGAGCCCGATGCAGGACTTGATCCCAGGACCCTGGGGTCATGACCTGAGCCAAAGGCAGACGCTTAACTGACTGAGCCACCCAGGCATCCCTAAAAAAATTTTTATTCAAAGAAAAACAATTTGTTATACTACTATTGTGATGAAACAAAGTGATTTGAACCTACTTCTTTTGACTCAAAAGTCTCAGCACCTGAAACTGTCAAAATGTAGGCATCTCCTGCTACAAATTTATGGTTTCCACCTCCTCACCCACACTTCCCCCAATCAGTCTCCACTCATTTGCTCACTAGCAAGGCCTGAAAACCTGCTCCTTCCCTCTTTCATCGGGATACCCTTTCTCCCCTGGTTTTCCTCACACTTAACTGGCATTCCTTCCTAGTCTTCTTCCCTGACCCTTAGGCATCCTTTAACTTTAGGCAAAGTTCCCCAAGGAGCGGACACCCATTCACAGGGAGTCACTTCTACCTACAGGACAATGACTCCACTACCTATACCTCCAGTCCAGCTTCCACCTGATGGCCAGATATACGTGTTCCACAGTCTGCCCACATCTCCACTAAGTTGACCCACGGCAACAGCAAAGTCATGGATTATCTTAACCTGAGCTTATCTTCATCTGTCCTTTCTCCTATTCTCTATATCTTGGCAAGGAGAAATCCTCACTTCTTATCAAAGTTAAAATACAGAAAAACCATCCCCAGCTCTTCCTCCTCCTTCGCTCATCACACTCATAGAGTCTCCCAGTTCTACTTAGAATCCCCACTTAGGAACTCTCAGTTGCCATACCCCTGCCCTAGCTTAAACCTTCATCACTCCTCACCTGGGCATCTCTGTTTTGAACCCACCCCATTCTACCTCCCACAGTGACAAGACAGTGATCTTCCCAATAGAAAAATCAGATTACATCTTTCCATTGATATAAATGCCTTTAATGACTCATCATTTTCCACAGGATAAAATCCCACTTCCTTGGAATAACCATCTTCGTCTTTAATACCTTCCCTGCATTTCCCTTGCTCTCTCATGACACCCTGTGCTTCCATTATTGTGAAGCACTTGCAGTTCCCAATACTTCACATTATCTCATTCATTTTGCCTTTCACATGTACTGCTCCCCACGCCTACACTGTCTTCCCTCCCAACACACCTCTCCCCCCTTGCTTGCTTAATGCACTCATTATTCACAACACAGCTAAAGCATGAAATCCACTGGAAAGTCTTCCTAATATTTCGATTCCAACGTGTATTAGACATCCCTCTTATAGCATTCCTTTATTAATGTAATTATCACATTGAATTATGATCATTTTTTACTTACCTGCCTCTCCTCTAAATTGTAAAACAATCAACACACCTTAGAATTTAATTAAAAACATAAGAAGGGCTGCTTTCTGCCTTATAATTGGGTCTATAAATTTGTAAAGCCTTTGGGGAAGACAATTTGGCAGTATCTATCAACATGCTAACCCAGTAATTCTTAGAATCTCTTCCACAGAAATATTCAAATATGTGTGCAAAGATATAGATGATAAAATGTTCGTGGTAGCATTGTAATGGGAAAAAAAAACTGAAATGATCTTCAAGTGAGTATATCGTATCATTGAATACCACACAGATGTTTAAAAAATAGATCTGGAAATACTGCCAAGTGGATTAAAGGTAACTCACAGAAAATATTAAAGTATGATATATTATGCCCCTGCCAATCTCTACTCAACATAGATTTTATCTGGGCAAATGCATGGGGTAATCGGGAAAAGCTGTACCAAATAGTTAATAATGATTAAACGGAGTCAAAAGACACTCCTGCAGGGGCGCCTGGGTGGCTCAGTCAGTTAAGTGTCTGCCTTTGGCTCAGGTCATGATCTCAGGAGTCCTGGGATCGAGCCCTGTGTCTGGCTCTGTGCTCAGCAGGGAGTCTGCTTCCCCTCTCACTCTCCCTCTGTGCATTCTCTCTCTCCCCCCCAAATGAATAAATAAGATCTTTAAAATAGATATATACATATATTCCTGCAAACGTTTTTAAAGATAAAAATATACTGATGAATATAAATCATTACCAGCAGAGAAAGAATGAATAATAATATCACTTCACAACACTTAAATACAAAAATAAAATTATATATATATATATCACTTTTCCATGAAGCTAAGGGTAAGGACCACAGAGAGTGACTATCTTTCTATGAATCCTGAGTGCAATTTTCTTTTAAAGTTTTGTGTGTGTGTTTTGTTTGTTTGTTTTCTGAGTAAGGAAAAAGCCACTCACAAACCTTGCATTCTAGCCAACTGATCTCTTTCCTGGAGAGCAGACTTCGATATTATGTCAATCTATGCTCCTCAGGAAAGATTCTTCTCAAATTGCAAACAAGAAAGTATGCATTTATTCTATATATAAAGCTAATACATTTCCTCGTAGAGGTGGAAATCTGGTTTTGGCAATATCAAATTGTCCCTCTCATCCTGCTTCAGTCCTTGACATTTACTCAGGTACCTTCTCTGAGGACAGAATGAAAGAGAGAAGCAGGGGATCCTTTAAACCTAAAATGCTATAGTCAATTATGTTTTAGTGTGCCTACTGGTTTAAAGTTTCTGCAACACTCATAATTCTCATAGACAAGCTTGTTTTGTTGAACACAAATGCAAAATAAGATAGAATAAACATACACGAACTCAAAAGCAGCACTGACAGACACTCCACCTCCCACTCCGGGTAATGACTCTGACCTCTCAAATAAATAAGCAAAATTGAAGACAGGCTTATTAGAAGCAGGAAAAGCAAAAGATAGAGATGGACCCGAGGACAGGATGATATCATCCTTAATATGCAGTAGGACTCTCCCAAGATCACATGGAAGTCTTTTTGCAGCTTTCTTTCATCTCTAAAAACTCTCAACAATACTTTTCATAAACCATTATTGTAATGGATGTTTGTTCTTCAAGACAGAGTTGAATCAACTCCGGGGATGAATAAAATGATAAAAACTCAAAAGAAATAAAATGTACATTCTGGGGGAATAGCCCAGACTCCTAAATTTTTACCCACAAATCATTTCAGTAGGAAGAGAAAAGAGAAATATATCCGGCTCAGAGAATACAGCAAAACTTTGGTTTGTTTAAAAAAAAAAAAAAAAAATTCCAAGATAAATGAAAAGAGATGACAAAACAATAATTTCTAACTAAAAAATTAATAACAGAAAAGAACTTTAAATACTACACCCATGTATCTTCCGCTGAGATTAAAAAGATGTTAACACACCTTTGCTTCAAAGGATACAATTTTTTTTTTAAGATTTTATTTATTTATTTGAGAGAGAAAGCACAAGCAGAGGGAGGGGCAGAGGGAGAGGGAGAAGCAGACTCCCTGCTGAGGATCCGATGGGGGGCTCCATCTCATGACCCTGGGATCATGACCTGAGCCAAAGGCAAACACCTAACTGACTGAGCCACTCAGGCGCCCCCAAAGGATACAATTTTATAAATATAGCTGCTCTATGGCTCCTCCCCAGGAACCAATGCTACTTAGTTCCCATGCTGTCATTTCAATTCACACTCTTGTGCTACGTATGTGTATTTCTAGAACATTATTTATTCTCAGCTTCAGTGGCTTATAAAAACATACATAAATGGTATCATAACCATATACTTCCATAACTTTTAAGTTGTCATTCTTGTTTTTGAGACTTATCCATGTTGCTACATTAACTGCTGTATAGCATTCCATGTATTCCTAACCCACCATTTAGTGATCCACATCTCTACATAGGACCAATTAGGTGTATCCCACTTTTTCATATTACAAACACTGAAATATAGATGTCTCATTGTGTACCTATAAAAATAGCAATTATTAAATATAAAATCTTAAAGACAATCTAAAACTAGAAAATTGAAGTAAGTTGATATGGATGCTATACAGAAATTATAATCTATTTAATGGTGTTCAATTCAAGTGTCTATTTCATAATGGCCCCAAAGGAATTACTGCTTTGCATCTCATGTGCCTCTTTCTTCCTTCATTTTTTTTTAAAGATTTTATTTATTTATGTCAGAGAGAGAGAGAGAAAGAGCACAAGCAGGGGCAGCGGCAGGCAGAGGGAGAAGCAGGCTCCCCGCTGAGCAGGGAGCCCAGTGCGGGGCTGGATCCCAGGACCCTGAGATCATGACCTGAGCCGAAGGCTTAACTGACTGAGCCACCCAGGCGTCCTCTTCCTTCATTTTTTTTAATAAACTACAATTCCTCACAAAATGAGTCAAGAAGATGAGTCATAAGAATGACTACCCAAAGTGCCGAGAAGACTGAACCTGTGTGTGTGTGTGTGTGCACATGTGTGTGGTGTGCAGAGAGATTCCGGTTATTTCTGTAAGTAAGGGAATTGAATAATTCAGAACATAAATTTTTCTATTGAACAGACAGCCTGTAAAAATGACCAGAAAAGGTAAAAACAAAGGAGAGAAGATACTTCACTACAGCATTATTTCCAAACTGAAGCCAGTACAATGTTAAATTGACTTAAGGAGATAGGAACAGAATGGTACAGCCATTATGATCCTCCCACAAGATAGCATAACTGTCTAGCCCCTCATTTCTTTGGAACCACACTTTTTCTGGCTTGAAAGCCTAGACTCTTCCTACGGGCAGCCCAATGCCTAGATGAAATAAAACACTGGATGAGTGACAAGAGGGAAGAAAAGCACCACATGATCTTTATTAATTAAACTTCTAGAATTATTGAGGGGCACCTGGGTGGCTAAGTTAAGTGTCTGCCTTCGGCTCAAGTCATGACCCCAGGGCCCTGGGATTGAGCTTTGCGTCAGGCTCCCTGTTCAGCAGGGAGCCTGCTTCTCCCTCTCTCTCCCTCTGCCTGCAGCTCCCCGTGCTTGTGCTCTTTCCCCCTCTCTCTCTGTCAAATAAATAAAATCTTTAAAAATAAAATAAAATTTCTAGAATATTGAAAACAGGGATGGGTAGAGATATAGGCTCTCGCTCCTTCCCATAAACACAACCACTTTAATTGAAAATCAGTATTTTTTAAAAATGGGCAAAAGATTTAAAGGGTCGGGTGCCTGGGTGGCTCAGTCATTAAGCATCTGCCTTCGGCTCAGGTCGTGATCCCAGGGTCCTGGGATCGAGCCCCGCATCGGGCTCCCTGCTCTGCGGGAAACCTGCTTCTCCCTCTCCCACTCGCCCTGCTTGTGTTCCCTCTCTCGCTGTGTCTCTCTCTGTCAAACAAATAAATAAAATCTTTAAAAAAAAAAAAAAAAGATTTAAAGGGTCATTTCTCCAAAGAAAACAAATGGACAATAAGCATATGAAAAGATGTTCAAAATCATAAGTCATCAGGCAAATACATATCAAAGCCATTTCACATGCACCATGATAACTATAATTTTAAAAAAGGAAAATGACAAATGTTTTCCAGGATGTGGAGAAACTGGATCCTTCCCACCACTGCTGATGGGAATGTGTAATAGTATAGTCATTTTGGAAAACAGTTGGCAGTTCTTCAAAAAGTTAAACATAGAGTTACCATATGATCCAACCACTCCACTTAGGTATATACCCAGGAGATTTGAAAACATATGTCCACACAAAAACCTGTATATGAATATTCACAACAGCATGATTTACAGTAGGCAAAGGTGGAAAAAAGTCAAATTTCCAGCAAATATGAATTAATAAACAGAATGGGGTATATTTATACAATAGGGTTTTATTCAGTTATTTAAAAAAAATACTAAGGATATCAATGCATCCTATAATGTGGGTAAACCTTAAAGACATACTAAGTGAAAGAAGCCAGGCACAAATGGTCACACATTTATATGAAATCACCAGAATAGGATATTACATTGAGAAAGGAAGTAGATTAATCATTGCCAGGGGCTGGAGGAGGGAAGAATGAGTGACTGCCCTAGGTACAGGGTTTCACTATGGGGTGGTGAAAATCCTAAGAAAGGCATAGAATTAGATAGTGGTGATGTCTGCACAATATACTAAAACCTGAAGAGTTGCACACTTTTAAAAAAATGAATTTTATGATATGCAAATTATATCTCAATTTTTCACATAAAAAAAGCTAAAAGCTGGTTTTAGGGAAATCCAAATTGAAATGAGAAAAAACAAATCAATACATCAATGTGAAGTCATATCACATGAGCAGACATAACGCATCTCAACAAATTCTGATTTGATAAAAAATGTGAACATTTCAGTAGTATTACTGAGAAAGGTAATCATTAGCATTTACCAAGTGCTTACTTATACATGAAGCATTATTCTAAATATTCTACCCAAACATACTGCATCTAAACTTCATAGCCCCCTTATGAGGTAGATACTCTTATCCTATCCCCATTTTATAAATAAGAAAAGTGAACCCCACAGAGGTTGAGCAATTTGTAATATTATATAGTCTGTGTGTTTTGCTACATATATACTTTTAAATCCAGTAAAATCTATATGTCAAGCTGATATAATTGTATATGTATGCCATGTGTGTGTGGCAGCTAAAGATAAATGAGAGATTATTCTTTGCAAGTGTCTAAAATCCTAAAAATATGAAAATGAGAAAAGGAGCATTTCACCGAAAAAGCCTAATTTCTCTTTTCTATTTTACAAACATATATTAATCTTCTTTTTCAAATGGTAATCATTCTTCTCTTAAAAAGGAAAGTTTAATGAATTTCATATAATCTGGCTTCACATAATTGAAATTATCTTTAGCCACTTCCTCTAGAACTAAGGGTAACAATAGCCAAAATTCCTAGAAGACAAATTTAACTGTTATTTTCAAATCATCTAGTGACAGAAGTGTTTATGAATCAAAATTATTTTAAACATCATTTGTTTAATGGAGGATCTTCCACTGAAAGATTAATGGGTAAAGATTACATACCTTGTTTTTAAAATAAACCTCAATTGGCAAAATGAAACCAGCATACCCAGATTCTTCTACTTTGTAAGGTGGATCTTTGCACACTGCAACATTAAAAAGAGAAAATACGTGAGAGAAGAATAAAAGACAAAAAGACATTCTTTCTTTTGGGGGAAAAAAAAAAAACCCACTCTACTACCTAGATCATGCTCAGTCTTCACAGCCCTTTGCTAAATCCCCATCTGCATCTCTGATCTATCCTTTACTCCCCCGAATCTACAATAATTTTCCTAGGTAAAGCAAATCTGTAAGCTATTTGTTAAAATCTTGATGGGGACATCTCATCGCAGTCAACCATGATTAGTAATAACTCGACTTCAGTTGTTGTCACCCTGCCCTAAAGCTTTAGGGAAATTGAGGATAGCTCCTACAATCCAAAGCTTGAAAGTTTCCTAACAAAAGTACTGTCTATGCCAGGTCTTTGATGTAAATTACCCCATCCTTAAACCCCTCACTTTTTGGATTTCTATGCCAAAAAGTGGCAGGATACCCTCCTTCCTTAGAAAATCCCAAATCCAGAGTCTCCCAATGTTAGTGATGCCCATATTGTCACTATTCCCAGTTCTGCCCCCCCCCCCAAAAAATTAGGCGAGACTATTTAGGCAAGTTCTTGGGAAATGAGAGACACCCTCAAGAAGCTAACTATGATTTCATACCACTAGAATATCAGTTAAATCAAAATCAGTCACAAGCCAACTGAAATTATTCTAGCTAAGACTGCATTTGATAGTATCACAAAGAAGTAAAAATGTGGATGCTGAACATCAAGGCAACACAGTCCTCTCTATGTGGCAGCTCAAATCCTCTGCCGCAGGGCTCCAGTCTACCTTTGCAGCCTTCCTCTTTTGTCACCCATCAATCCTCCTATGCTACATTCAAGTGCACCAACTCCCCCCAAATATGCCCAGCATGTCCCAACTGTGCCCTGTCCTCCTGCCATTCCTTCCATCATACTTTGATACTACTGTTAGTATCCTCTCTAGTTCAAATTCAAATTTCGTCACAAATTTTGTGGCCTTTCCAGACCACAAAGTACTATCATCTCTTCCTCTTTTACCCTCCCAAAGCATTCACTGTCTGAATTACAGGTTTGACACTCAACAGAGTTCCCCATTACCATATATTCAGGAATCTCATCTGTAATTTCCTTCCAGTCTTCAAGGACAGAAATGTTCACCTCAGGAAGATAATGAGTGTCAAGTGTCAAGGGCTTAGGCACACGTGGGTGCCAATCCAGGCTCCACCTCGGGCTAACCAGGCTACATCTGGTTACTGAAAGTTAACTCTAATTCTCTGAACATTGGGTTTTCTTCCATTGTAAGGATTAAACAGGATGATGTATATGTAAGACACAGCACAGATCCTGGCACACATAAGTTCTTAAAAAGTGACTGAAGTGAGGCAGGAAATCTAATTCATGAAATATCCAAATGTCAAATAAACTTTTCAGATGAAAATAGAAAGAAGACAGCAAGTAGAGCCCTGGATTTTGATTATAAGACTCAGGTCCATGGCCCCTGGGCTAAGAATTCTCCAGACAGCTTCCATTTCCTTTAGCTTTAAAAAAGAGAACACCATCGGGGGCGCCTGGGTGGCTCAGTCAGTTAAGCATCTGACTCTTGATTTCAGCTCAGGTCATGATCTCAGGGTTGTAAGATAGAGCCCCATGTCTGACTCCGCACTGGGCGTGGAGGCTGCTTAAGATTCTCTCTCTCACTCTTCAGAGAGAGAGAGAGAGAGAACTATATACCCAACTGTAAGCATGGCCGTCAAGATGCAAGAAGACTATATATGTGTAGAAATTCAAGTGTAAGTTATTTTTCTTCTAGACAACGGTGATGATATACATGAAGATTGGTTAGACATTCCACAAGTACAACCACGGTTATAAAGAGGTATATTGAAGATAGGATTTTGACACTTGGACGTCTCCTTTAACCCACCTCAGGGACCCTTCCCCAAAAGGACATCAGAAGTCAATCAGGAATGAGGAATCTCACCTGACTTTACAAGTGTCTCTAAAAAAAAAAAAAAAGAAAAAAGAAAAAAAAGAAAAAGAAAAACAACTCAGAGTAGCTTCAGTCCAGCATCCACTAACCACCTGCCAACCTGTCATGAATATTCAAATATCCTGGACCCTTGGAGAGGATATGCCACCAAAAGCACTGAGCACTCCCCACCTCACCCCAAACAGAAGGCTCGTATTACACCCATGACATTTGCAGACTGCAAAGCCTCTCTGCCACACAGCAGTTTCAGTGTCCAGGTCGTTGGGGATTAATCATGCCAATGTCACTTGAAGGAAGTTTATTCTGTGGGCTGCGGTACATGCCAGGGAAGTTATGGCTGCTTCTCTATACCCCCTTTTGTTGAATTAATTCTCTCTATTCTGCATGCAAATTGCTTCTATTATAGGAAACAGCTGTTAGTGAGCACATCTTCTAGTTGAAAGTTTGAGATTTTTTCCCATCCTCTAAAGGAAATGATGTGTTATATATTAATATTCCGTGAAAGTCTGGTTTATAAGAAACTATTTACCAATGCATACCTCAATTATTTTTAAATGCAATATTTTCATAAATAACAATAAACAATGTCTGTAGAGCACCCGGAGTTCTTAATTAGAAGCAAAGAATAGAAACTTTTTATACACACTAAGCATGCCAGAAAATCTGTAGCAATACAAATATAAACTTACAGTCCCAATCCGAAGAAAGCCAAATTAGGGGAAGTAGTTTATTTATTCAAGCATCTTATAACCTAAATCATTAACATGAGTTTCTAACCTAGTTCTTAAAAAGAAACAGGAGTTCAAACCAAGAAACATTTTAGCCAGGGATAGTACATTAGACATAAAGCAATTATTGTTAAACTAAAAGGACCACCTTCGGGACTTCCCTGCGTCACTCAGAAATGCTTCTTCATTAAGAATCCATGTTCTATCATCACTGGCTACTGTGTCACCTTCATACAATCTAAGCATCCTAAACCCTTCAACTCATTCCTCCTCTCAATTGTTCGAGAATCAGATAATCTTAAAATCTATGTAATAAAAGTTTCAGAAGTTATTAAAGGGACATTCATCTTTGGAAAGCCATCATATTTTTTTAGGTGACAGTAAAGTGGGAGGACTAACATCCATTCTTAAACTATGCAAATTAATATTCAGCAGAAATCCCTGGAAGCTCTCATTCCTGTCAAAATCCAGCCCAGACGTTAGCTCTTTTAGAATGTCTCCCTTGTTCCTCTTCCAAGCTTCTCGTGTTGCACTTATCAGGTTGGTGCATTTATCAGACTGGCAAGATAACATTCACCTACCTCTCAGACTCCTCCACTAGACTGAGCCCCTGGAGGTCAGCAACTCCATTATTACTCATATCTGTAACTCCGGGCATTAACACTGAGCCAAGTAAAGCAACAAATGTTTGTTGAATTGAATTTTTTAAAGAGGCATGCCATCCTTCACTGATTTACCATTACTAAAGAAGTTGCTTTCTGGGAGCACTCAAATTCTTCTCCAAACCCCCACGCCCTACAATCAACATGAACTTTTATTAAAATGGGTAGAGGTGATAGGAAGTGTTGCCACAGAGGAGCCTTCTCCTGAAAGCCAGTACTCACATGGAACTGGTTTTAATTCTGATAGTACCAAACTTCAAGAAACTGAGTTCACAAATTGAGCCAGAGGATACCCAGTGTCATTTTGAAACTAACATTATACAGCCGTAAATAACATGTTCCTGCTCCTCTCCTTCCACATACTGCTGCTCAGGTATTCCAAGGCTCTAACTAGGAGACATTTTCAAAACATCTCTTTCCAAGTAATCACATGTAGCATGAAGGTCTACCAGCACACAACACTCATGCCTGAGAGGAACAGCCCAAAGTGTGCATAAATAATGAGTAATTGTAGTTTTTTTTTCCTTAAAATAGCTTCTCAAAAGTAGGCACACTCCCCATATAAATATGTAGTATAATGCTAGCTATATACACTGACCATTAACCTATTTAAGTTGTGCAAAAAATGCACACAAGGAAGAAAAACCAATGAAGGGGGGAAAAGGTTATATTTTGGTTAACGTGGAATAAGTCAAAATCTTATTCCCTTACCTGAGATTTTTAATATTCTTCATTTAGGAGAAAAAGGCTTCAAAAAAACAAAACAAAACAAAACCCTGTGCTTGGTACAGGGAAATAAATGCTCCTTAGATGAATAAATAAATTTGTGCTATTATCATAAAGTTCACATACAGACACAATAAATAAACTTAATTAAAAGATCCCATTGTTTAGCCCTAAAAAGAAAGAAAAAGAAAAGAAGCAGCTCTTACAGATTCATAAGACCCTCATTTAAAGCTTTAAAAAAAATATCATTGGGCAATAGTTTTTAATCTAATCCTCAGGAAAACAGCTGGTAGATTCCTCTCCAGTCTGTTTGCTTAGACACTATGATTTACGCCCATCTGAATACTTTTGTTCAGGTCATGGCCCAGTTGCCCATTGATAATTATTGGTTTTACTTTATTTACGGTGCAGAGCCCTTCAGGAAGGAAACACACTGAACTCTATATTATATAGACTGGTTATTACCAATGCTTTGTGCTAAATGTCCCTTCCAGTTTGAGCATTTTGGACTCCTTCCCTTCCTGCTTGAGTTCAGAGCCCCCAAGAACAGTGAAACAAGGGGCTGCCCGGCCCATGTCTCTGCCCTCAACTGTCCTGTGGGAGCATTTAGAAGTCTAGGGCTAGTATCTAGCAGTCTCAGCACCTCACTGCCATTGAACATGGTAGCCTTTACACTTGTGACATTTTGAAAAGAGCAAAAACCAACAGTTGGGTTTTGCTTTTGTTTTTATAAGCATACACACATGGGAACACACACAGAAAGATTCTGCCATTGCTTCTACTCAGCCCATTTCAAAACAGGTATTTCTAAATGGCAAAAAATATTTTCCCCCTTTGTGCCATTTCCTCTGTCTCCCTGAAAAATGACTAAAGGTAACATTAGGCAACTTTTGAGTTCCATTGTTGAGGTTTTTACCTT